CCCCCCACTTGCAACCTCTCGGCGCGTCGCCCCCGCCCCCATGCAGCCCCGCTTTGGTATCTCTCCTTTGTACACGCATCTTCGGGGCCGGCGGTTCGGAGCTTTGTCTGGGGATCGAGCGGGCCCGGCCGGGGTCGTGTGCCACTCGGGGCCCTACGAGCTGATAGCCCCCTCCCCCGGCGGGGAGGTCGCCCCCGACTCCCGAGGCGAGGTCGCGCTGCGTGGAGGCGTCGTTGGAAGGGATCGCTGGCGGGCGGTTAGTATGCTTCGGGGTTCGGAAGAGCGGGGCTCGTTTGGATCCTAGAGCGATCGCCGTGTTTGTTCTAGACCTCGAGCGGTAACGGCTATAAGCTGGTCGTTTTCCGCCGGTTGGAAATCCCAGCCGAACTACGGGTCTTCACTTAGGCCTAATAATGTATATGTAAATAGTGGGGTGGGGGCAAGAAACGTGTATTTTCTTAAGGTACGGAAATCATTGCCCTAGTATTGGGACCCAAACCCAATTCACTGCTATCGAGTCGATTACGACTCATCGTGATCCTGTCAGCAGGTTCGAACTGGCCCTGTCGGTTTCTGAGTAGAAAGGCCCGCCTTTCTCTGAGTGGTAGCCGAACTGTTGACCTTGAGGTTAGCGAGCCAGTGGCAAAACGTGTTAGCAGGCGCTTCTTCCCTTTTTGAAATGATACATTTGGCGTGTGAATGCTAGGTGGAGTCCAGGAGCGGATGGAGGAAGCATAAAGGCTATTTCAGATAACTTAATCTCTCATCTGTGGACACAAGGATGGAATCCCTTGATTAGCCAAGGAGTAACGATTTTAAAGTGACCTTTCATAGAACCACTTGTTTGGCTCTTATCTTGACAGCCCTGTGGTTGCTTGTTAGGCAGGCGTGGTGGTTGAATAACTAGTGTAAGCGCTCTGGACTGCTCACCATGCAGCCTGCATCTTCTTCCACTGTGAGACTCTGAGGGACTGACAGTGTCTTGGTCTTAACTCCTCTTGCCCCTAAATGGGGAGAAAGATGGGGTTTTCTACTCGTGTAAACAGTCTAGAAACCCACAGGGTCAAACCCTGGCCTGGGGTCGCTGTGAGTTAGTGAGTTTTTCAAGCAGTTCCTGTCACTCACCTTCCCTCCGGCTGGTGGTTTTTCTCTTTTCTCGCTTCTCATTGACATCACTTTCAGAGACCAGCGTAGCATAGCGTAGCTCATCCGACAGCCCTCTCTTTCTTCTAGAAGCTTTCCCAGATTGTTCCTGGGTCAGTGGGAAGCCTTTGCTCTCAGGAACCCATACATTTAATGTATTTCAGAAATTACCTAACTGAGCAATTTTGTCACCTGAATGAGTAATCTTGTAAACGTGAAAGGTTCCGGGTGAGTGTCGGATGTGTGTACTCAGGAAAGAGCACCTGAATCTTTGCGGGTGATTCCCATTACCTCCTAATTACAAGTGCCCTCGTTTTGTGCCCCCCCCCCAGCATTCCGATAGCCTTTGTAGCTGTTACTTAAGAAAAATTACCTTTAGAACATAAATCCATTCCAGATTTCTGGACAGGTGTTGAGTTACATGTTTGCCATGGTTATGCGTTATTGAAGATTCAACTTGATCTCTTTGTTTTTGTTTCCAAATCTCCTTTAAGTGGAGGATCAAGTATGTAACTTCACTTACCCATCCCAGGGCCTGTGCTCCCTCAGCAGCACGGGGCATTGTTCAGTGCCTTGCCTGCCACAGCACGTGCGCAGTCAGTGTTTGAATTGTTGATAAGCCCCTGCCAAAAGTCAAACCAGAACCCCACCACCCCCCACTCTCCTACCCATCCCCCCTTTCCAAAGTTTCCTATGTGAAAGCAGCTCCACATCTCCTGGGGGGGCTTCAGGCCCTTCAGCTAGCAGTTGATCACTTAACCCTTTCATCCCCAGGACTGCTTCACTGATGATGATCTAAAAGAATAGCATCATCTTAAAGGGCACTTAGATGGGAGTCACATACTGGAGGACTGTTGTGGAAACAGGTACCTGACTAATCAAAGACAGGGTATATTTTATGTGGGTCCTTAGAGATTATGCTTAAAATAGCAAAAAGAAAAGGAGTTGGAGATAACTAGCCAATGAATGGGATGGATCAGAGCAGTACAAGGCTGAGGGGAGATGGTAAATGGAGAGGGTGGGGTGGCACTGGTTGCTTAGTAAGCCACATAAACACCACCACCCCCTTTTTTTTCTGGGACACATAACCCTTTTTATAAACAGTCAGATCCATTGCTGTGGTGGGTGCTGGAGTCAGTTCCAACTCATAGCAACCCTGTCGGTCAATAGGAGGGCCCCTTAGTGTTTCTAAGGCTGTTGTCTTTACAGAAGAAGCTGGCTGATTGCTGTGGGCCTAGCCACCACCCCACCGAGCCACCTCCCTTGAGGTTCCCCACTGTACTGTGTGTACTGGGAAGACTCCTCCACTTTGCCACCATGCGCACCTGCAGTAGATTCAAGACAAAAGGTTTTCTAGAACATGCATGTATTTCCTGAACAGCCTTTGTCATCCGGAAGCCAACAGGCCTTCAGTTAGAGACCCAGTGACTGAAACCAGAACCAGCCTGAGAGGGTTCAAAGTGGTGGCTGCTGCCCTTGGACACCCACTTCTAGGAAGCTGACCAAGGCCATGCTCCCTATTGGGGTATACAGTACTCCTTTTGGGGTGTCAAGTCCTTCGCATGAGCTACCAGAATGGGACAGTTTCTCCGAGACTCGGGTACTCACTCTTACTGTGCTTCATTTCTGCTGCCCCCTTGCCCAACAGCCCACCTGGCACTTTCCTTTCTGAAGCCCTGTGAGTGGCGCCCTGGGCGTGACCTTGGGCTGGCAATCCCAAGGGCAGTGGTTCAAACCCACCAACTGTTCTTGCCAGGCTGACTGCTCTTCGAGTATTGACAACCTCGGAGAGCCTGCCTGGGTTCTCCTAGCCTCAGGGTAGAGGACTCCTCACCTGGTGTGCACCCAGCCTTGGGTGGGGGGCTGGTGAGGGGGGCCACAAGGGTTCCTACTTAAATGGGACACCGCACTTCTTCCCCAGCTCTCACATCCCACGGGACTGGCCTGCTCTTCTATTTGGACATGAGACAGATGGACACCATTTTCTTAACATGCTCCTGCTGTGTGTATTTGTGTGTGTGTGTTTGGGCGGGTGGGTGGGATGTCTTCCTGGCCGCTGAAAGAGCCATGTAGAGCGAGTGATCCCCTTGCTCCCTCCCCAACCCCGTCCAAATTAAACTTTGTTCTTATAGGAGCCCTGGTGGCACAGCCTTTGTTCACATGTTGGTGAATAGAGCTTAAAAGGCAGAGACCTCACTGTAAACGACTTGTCCAAGGGCTAATGGAGTCCACAGTCGATTTTCCATCGAAAATTAAGTGGTTTTTTTTTTTAAAGGAAATGGGGGCTGTCTGTGCTCGAGCAGGCAAGGAGTCAGCACTCAGAGAAGCGAGAGTCCTGTGTGACCCACACAGGTCACCTTAATGATTCAAGGTGTTTCAGGGCTGGCACTTAAAGTGTCCAGTAGAGTCTGGTCTCTGATCTTGGGAGGAACAGGATCAGTGTGGGGCAGGTCCCCACAGACTGGGAGGCTGGGTGCCCAGTTAGTCAGGGTGGTAATTTCTCAGGCTGTTGGCTTGTCTAGGGGTGGGCCTTGCTTATTGTCTTCATTTCCATGAAACACTCAGAGCCAACACCGTTACCAGACCGTGTGCACCTGCTTGGAGAGTAGCCTGATTGCCTGGACTTTGTGGGGAGGGGTGTGGGCTCAGCCTGAGTCATGCATCAACGTGGTGGAATTTGTAAACAAACCCCAAACTGATTTTGATTCTTTGTCCTTCAAAGAGAGGTCCAGTTTGAAGTGGGTTTCTTGTCTGCCTTCTCTGACCCCTGCTAGCCTAATAGGAGGTGCAGTGAGTCACTAACCACTAGGCAGGCCTGGCAGTTGGAACCCACCAGCTGCTCAGCCCTGCCCTGTAGGATTAGTGAGTGGGTTGTCTTTTGGGAAGAACTGGTGGTGCTGTAGAATCTAGCTGGGAGGAGGGTACTTGCTGCCACCCACAGTGCAGGATGAGGCTGTGTGCTCCCGTGAAGGTCCGTCTCTGAAAGCAAGCCTGGGGGGGTGGGGTGGGGAGGGTGGCGTGTGTCAGGTGCCACGCGGTGGCTGAGGGTGTGGTTTTTGGTTTGGGTTCTTTTGGAGTCTGCTCCACAGCTCGTGGCACGGGCCGGGCTGTGGGGCTTCTAGTTCTGGCTGTGCCACAGCAGGCAGCCTCGTCTCCTGGCAGCTGAGTAAGGTGATGCTCGTGGGTGGGGACATGTGACAGGACTTGCTTCTAGAGTTTCTATTGGGGTGCAGCGGCCATGCCGGCTGCCACTGCAGTTGCTGGATCCCTTGGGCATGCTGCTGGTGGCACTTGGTGCCGTGTCTGGTCTGCTGTCCTGACCTGGAGCCTGTCGGGTCCACAGGGACAGGACTCGCACTGGGAGCATGCCTTTGTCATTCCCAGGGGTGTCCCTACCCTGATGGCTGGCTCCTGTTTCCCTGATGGCCTTTTCTCCCTGCTCATCTGTTCTGCAAACCTCTGTCCAGACCTAGGGGACCCAGAGAGGCAGAGGCTGGAGAGCGAGCCTAGCGCCAGGCCGGACACAGTGGAGGGTTTGAAACAGGAAGGGGTCACACAATCAGATTCAAGTGGAGACACCCCTTCAACCTGCACTCCTGGTGAACCTGTGTTGGCCAAATGGTCACATGTTTCAAACCCTCCAGGCTCCTGCCCCCATTTGCTCTCCTCATTTTCGGTCCTGCCCACCCAGGGCCCTCACACACGTGCCCCTCTGCTGGAGTGGGCTCCTTTCTCTGCCTGTTACTAAGCCAGGCCTGCCCACCTGCCATGTGCTGGCCGGCCAGCCGTGGTCTGCCTCAGTTCCCTTCCCTCGGAGCTCTTTCTGGGGTGGCCCAGTCACAGTGGTGTTTTCATGTCTGTTTGTGTGACTGGCTTGTGTCTTGCCTCCCATGAGATTCCAGCCAGCATGCCAGGGGTGGTGCCTGCTTGTACCTGGGTTCATACCTCTCCGAGTTTGGCCAGAGTGCGGTCCGATGCACTCTGTGTCCTGGTCCCTATGGCAGGGAGGGACAGACCTTGGTTGGCACTGCTGTGCGTGGCAGTGCGTCCTCACCCAGCTTCCACCACAGCAGTTGTCTGAGCACGAATGGGGTGGTGGTGGCAATACCAGGGAACGCTGGCTGAGTGAACCAAAGACCAGGACAGTGACCCCTCTCCTGCCCCCAGTGGATAGGAAACTTTCCCCTAGGAAAGTCCCCAACCCTGAGCTGACAGAGAAGTAAGTCAAAGGCTGCCATGGGCCGGAGCAGGTGAGCGTGCTTGGGCCTGGCACTGCCCACCACCAGCCTGTTTCCACACTCTATGGCCTTCAGGTTTTAGGGGGCAGGTAGAGTGATGTGGGTGCCGTTTTGTCACAGCTAGGTGAGGTGATCAGGATCAGGCTAAGAAGTGGAGGGGGTAAGGAGCCATGCACGCTGGGTGACGGGGTGGTGGGATGCTGCCTGCTCTCCGGGCCTATGTTCTTTCTTGGCAGGAGCACATGGCCAGGCCTTTGTTTCCCCGGTGGGGCCACAGAGTGGGGTCTCACTTGGGTGCTGGACTGCCGAGGGATTAGGGGTGACGGCTACCTTGGGAAGTTGTGGTTCAAGACCAGCCCTAACATTTCCAGTGCTGTGACTGGTAACCCCTTCCCAACCCGAGTCATTGTGCCAGTTTGGGGTTCTTTTTTTATCGTCACCTAATCCATATATTATACAATTCAATAGCTCAGTCTCGCCAGTGTTTTCACTGGCCTGACGTTTCCCAGTGTCCCAGAGCCAAAGTCTCATGGGTCTTAGGTTCATTGCTATCTTTCATCAATGAAAATAGGGGCAGCCAGCTCTGCCCGGGGGTAGAATGGGGACAGAAGAGGGGACCTAGGGCTGGGCAGGCCACAGCTGTGTTCCAGCAGCAGTGTACTTGAGCCAGCTGCTGCTCTGCCTGTGGAGACAGAGACTGCTGCCTGCGCCACTGTTGTGGTTGCTACACTGTAACGTGTGGCGATCGTTACAATGTAATTCTCCGCGAGTTGTGGGAGGCCTTTGCTTGCTTGTCTGAGTCGGCCCTGTGTGCAGACTCATCTACTGACACAAGCAGCCTCCACATAGCACTGGGTCATGTGGGCAGGCCTCCGGTGGCCTCCGAGTCTCAGCCCACGGAGCTTAGTAGCTCCAAGGCTCGACGCCCGATGCTCTGCTGGCAAGACAGGTGCCCTTGGTGTGCGTGTGTGCGAGTGTAAGTGGCAGAGTGGCCTCGGAAAGTTGGTGGGGACGCTCCAGCACCCTCCCAGGACTCTGTCCCGCTCACCCCGACTCGCTGCCCTCTGTTCCACAGGTACTTCATTCACGGCGTCTGTAAGGAAGGCGATAACTGTCGCTACTCGCACGACCTCTCCGACAGCCCCTACGGGGTCCTGTGCAAGTACTTCCAGCGAGGGTACTGCATTTACGGCGACCGCTGCAGGTGAGCCGGTGGGGAGAGGGGGGCAGACTGGGAGAGATCATGACCCCAGTCTTCCCTGATAGTGCGTTCCCACTCCTTAGACATCATGTATGTCCAAGCCCACTCATACTGTGGCCGCCAGAGGGGAGGGTAGAACTGGTGCTTCTGAGGTTCAGCATTCAGGAGCAGATAGCCCTGTCTCTCCCAGGGAACAGGGTAGGTTTGCTCACTGAGGGCTCCTCAGGGCAGACTCGTGACTGGTGGGCGGCACCCAGAGCAGGCTCGTCATGCAGCCTGAGTACATTTGGTGGAGGAAGGAGACTGGAGGCAGAGGCTGCTTCTTGGCCCTTTCCCACCAGCTGTGAGGGCTCTGCTCAACCAGACAGGCGTGAAGTGGGGTGACATGGTGGTCTGTATCATCTAGCCCCAGCAGACTGAAGACCTGGCCCAGGAGCAGTGGAGGGGTGGGAAGGTTGCTTGGGTGCACGCTTGCCTCTCAGAATGGCTGAGATCCCGGCCGGTGACTCAGTGACCCCTGAGATGAGGCCAGAGTGAGCTTGGTGACACCCATCCTAGCACCTCTAGTGGACTTGCCCTCCAATCCAGAAGATGTCTAGGTGTATTTGTTACTGGTGATTGGAGGAACCCCCTGAGAGGAGCTTATCTGGGTGGACCTGGCTCACCTGCCCTCCTGAGGGGACAGCAGCTGTAAGCTGGCGTATGGCGTGGCTGTCAGCTGAGCCCCTCTCCAGAGATGCTCCAAGGTCCCCAGGATGCAGGGTGAGGCCACAATCCTTATAACGTCAGTGCAGAAGCCCTTGGGTGTCTGCCATCCCTACCCCCTCAGCACAGGAACCCAAAACCACCCCACCCTCCAGGGCAGGGGATTCTTAAACTACCACACGAGGGAAGACTTTTTAACAAAGCCCCAGACACCTTTAAATCACATTGTTGGGGGCGGGGGTGGGGGTGGGGGCAATTGTGTCAGTGGTTGGATTCTACTGCTTTAAGTCCACTAGGGTAAGAAGCTTTGAGTGGGCAGGTTTAGTGTCACCCCCGTCTGTTTTGTTAAGACCTCTAGTTTGAACAGTGAGGAGCCTTGGTGGCATAGTGGTTATGCATTGGGCTTCTAACTGCAAGGTCAGCAGGTCAAAACCACCAGCCACTCCTTGGAAGAAAGATGAGGCTTTTCTATATTGGCAGAGTTACAGTCTAGGAAACCCACAGGGACCGTGCTGCCCTGTCTTGTAAGGTTGCTGTGAGTCAGACTGGACTCGTGGCAGTTTGATTTTTTGCTTGAGGGTGAGGACGATGGGACAGGGAGATGCCTTCCATAGGACCATGAGTGCTCAGAGGCACATCCTCTGGGATCTGCGGTTACGCTCTCCTCTGCTGCTTAACCGGAAGGCTGGAGAAAGGAATGGCAGTAGCTTGTTTGTGAGGTGTCTGGTGTATGCGTGTTCCTGTGTTTGGGGTAGCAGTTACCAGGTGACCTGGCTCTGGAGGGGTGCCTGGCTGGTTTGGTAGGCCATTTAAATGGAGGGGCTGGACCAACCAGGAGTCACTGTGTCCTGAGGGGAGTGGCGTTGTGGGTAACAGACTGAGGCAGTGGGGAGTGGGCTTTTATTCTGTCTGCACTGCAGGGAACATGTCCTCGCCCAGACATGAGCCCTGTGAAGGGGTCCCATGTGCATTTCAGTGGCACTGAGGGTGCCCCTGCAGGTGTGCAGCTTGCTCACCATCGGGGCCAGACAGTCCCGACGGGGGTTCCTTGTGAGAATTGACAGGGTCTTGGTGACAGGCTAGCTGGAGAAGGGAGCTTACGGAGGGACTGCGTGTCATCCATGACAACTGGGGGAAGGCCTCTCTGAGCTCCTTTGGTAGAATTGCATGCTGGGTCCAAGTCTTCTTTCGCAGAGATGCTCAGCATTCATATCAGCGTTGCTTCCCTGTTAATTGGTTGCGTGACATGTTTCCTGGAAGGGGCAGAGGAGGTTCTGTGCCGGCAGCTCCTCAGGGCCGGGACGTTTAGCTCTGTTTATAACAGGGGGGTTGCAGTGACCCTGAGGCAGGTCACACAGGGCACACAGACTGTGCTGTGTCTGGGCTAGGGTGGGAGAAGGGGAGGGGGGCGTGGCTTTGGTCTGCTGGCCACATGACTGCTCCAGCAGGGCCTTTGTTTTCCCATTTTTGCTTTATTCAGGTTTGCTTTTTGCATTCATCTTTCACTTTGGAAAGGCTGTGTACCATGTGCGATCCTCTCAGGAGGCAAGTGAACCCCATGCAGGGACACCCAGTTTTCCCCCCGTCTTCGCCCAAGTCATGCCTTGGTGGCTTCAGCACACTAGTGGCCAGGTGAAGGGGGGACTTGCTGAGCACTCAGGTCCCCTCTGTAACTTTCAGTGTCTGCCATTAATCCTTCACGTCTGTAGTGAAGGCTGGCACCTTGAAGAAGGGGCAGGAGACGTGGGCACAGTGCGCCCTGTGAGCTGGCTGTGCACTCCAGGTGTTGGCAGTGCTCACTTGGGGTGAGCAGTCAGTCAACGCTGGCACCGCCTGGTTTAATACCTGTCCTGGCCGCAGTAGCAGGTGTGGCCAGTGGAGGGATCAGCTCTGTGCTTACATTGAACTGAGACTCACTGGAGACCATAAGGGTGGCAGGGAACCCCCTCGCCCAGCCATCAGAGACACATGGAGGACATGTTGGTGGTCCTTTGCCCTCGCTGAGTGGCTCCTGTGCCTGCCTCACCTGAGCTGCCCCGCTGCAGCAGGTGGAGGTGGAGGCGAAGCAACATAAGGATTACAGACCGGCTCAACAAACATCTGTACACCAGAGGGCACGTGTCACAGAGTCTTTGGCCTGCAGTGACTGTCGTAGTACTCTGCTCCATTAGGGTGGTAAGAGCAGAGTTTGTGGTGTGGTGTGCCAGGCCTTTTTTGCACAGCAGGTCCAGGGGGGGGGTCGATCCTTCACCTTTGGGGTCAGCAGTGCCTGGCCTTTTGCAGCCCACAGGGACTCTGGCCGGGCCCAGCACGCACATTTCTGTCTAGTTGTATCCAGATTTAACTTGTAGCTGAAAATGCTTAAAGAATCGTGAGGTACTCTCTGAAGGAAATGTATTCTCCGTTTGGGGACTGGGCTCTGGTGATCTTGTGACTGCGAGTGGGTGGCTGTGGAACAAGGGTGCGTTGTCTTTGTAGGGATGCCTTCCTGTGAAACCAGCAGTGTACAGACCAGGCTGTGCACTTTGACTTGCTGGTCTTGAAAGGCAACACGCCTTGCTGAGTCTGCCCTTGCTGAGCTGCCATGACCATGCTAGCATGTCCCCTTGGAGGCTAGTACGTCCCCATGGGGGCTGACTGGGTGTGACATGAGTCTGCAGCAGGCGGCCACACAGCGTGTTTTGCACAAGCTGGTGCTGCCTTGACTGCATAGGAGTGACAGAGGCCACGAGGCCTGCAAGGCCAAAGAGTCACTGCTTGGCCGCTGCTCAGCCTGCGATCCCTGGCCTGTGGCCTTGCCATGAACATGCCCTCAGCTGTCATGGTGATGACACCGGTGGCCCCCACTGACTGACTGTTTGCGTGCCCTCGTCTTTCAGGTATGAACACAGCAAGCCCCTGAAGCAGGAAGAAGTGGCCTCGGTAGATCGGGCTGCGAAGCCTTCTCTCCCCGGGCCTGCCGGCCTCCCACCGGGAGTTGGACCACTTGCCGAGATGAGTGTCGGTGAAGTGGAGTCGAGAAGTCCAAGCTTTGCTGCTGTCGGGGCTGGTGCAGAGGACTGGGCGAATGCCGTGGAGTTTGTCCCTGGACAGCCCTACTGTGGCCGGAGTGAGTATGCTGAGGAGTCCGGGGTGGGGCGGGGCATTCTTGCCTGCACAGACAGCCAGCTGTCCTGCCTTCCTGCCTGGGTGTGCACCGTGGGCAGCGTCCTGTCATGGCCTTAGCGGGGACTGTCTCATCCTCCATGGGGCATTGAGTGCTGTTGAAGAGCAGCGAGAGTCTCCCTTCCTCCACCTATTGGGTCTCATTTCGGGCACTGTCATTAGTGTGTCTGCCTTACACGTACTGTGCTCCTCTTACTCTGCAGCTGCCCCGGCCTGCCCTGAAGCCTCCCCGCAGGGCTCAGTGACCACAGAGCAATTGGAGAAAGAGCAGCCCGTGGACACCAAGAAGCAGCTGTGCCCCTACGCCGCGGTGGGCGAGTGCCGCTACGGGGAGAACTGTGTGTACCTCCACGGGGACTCATGTGACCTGTGTGGGCTGCAGGTGCTGCACCCCATGGACGCTGCCCAGCGCTCACAGCACGTCAGAGTAAGTTCCCAGGGGTTTCCTTGTCCATGGAGACTGTCGTGGTGTGGGGGCAGCTGCTGGCCTGGCTTCCTTGGCAGTTCTACTCTGCTCTGTTAGAGGCTCGGGCCGGGGCCAGGGGCCTCGTCGCTCTCTCAGGAGCAACTTTGAGATGTAGTCCATACTGAATTTATTAAAACCCGCATTTACAGGATGGTGGGGCTGTTTTCATCCTCCTGCCCAATTTTAGACCATTATCATTAGCCCCAAAGAAACCCTAAGCCCAGCTCATGTTTCCTGGAAGCCGACTGGTCTCCTTCCTTGCTGTCTGGGCACTGTGGAATCGTATAAAGTGGGCATCTTTGACCTGGCACCTGTTCTCCAGGACCCACCCTCCGTGGTAGTGCTTTGTGGCAGGAGCCATTTGGATGGATGTGGGTGGACAGGCATATACTTGGGGGGGGGGCTGGTGGTGCTGTGGGTTAGGCACTGATTAGACTGCTAGCTACTGTGAGGTGGCAGGATCAAGCCCTCCCAGTCCCTCCCAGGGAGAAAGCTGAGGCTGTCTGGTTC